GACAAGAGAATGACTGAGGGGACAGTAGCTCTCTTCTCAGGCCTGGGGCTCCCCCAGCGCCTGGTGCCCATCTTCCCCCCAGCACGTCGTCCTCCTGGTGCCTCACGCCCTGCCTTGCTCGCTGTGCCACGTCCACAGATGCCCTCCCCACCAAGGGCAGCTGCACGTTGCTCTCTGGCAGCTCTAGCCTTCCCCCCACCCCCAGGCAGTGGCTCAGTGGGGAACCTGGATGCATGGGGGGGCAAGGGATGGGCTCCTCCCTGGGTTCAGAGGATGGGGTGAGGGTGCATACCCACCTCCTTTTAGTTGCCCCTGAAATAATCTCCAGCATCTTACAGCATGTTTTCCTCTTCCGAGTGCTTTCCCCGGCGTGGTTTTTTTTAGTTCTCCCAGGCTCCGGTGAGGGTAGGAACTGCTGTTATCTCAGTTTTGTTTGAGGAAACTGAGGCTCAGTGAGGTTATGTGACTTGTCCAGAGTCATGCTGCCAGGGAGTGGCCGAGCTGGGGTTTGAACCACGCCCAGGACTCCAGGCTTCCAGCCTCCACCCTTCCCCATCTCATAGCATCTCCATCATGTGACATCTGTTCACATGGTTTGTCTGGAAGGGTCTGTTAGGGCTTCCCTTTGCTCATAAAGAAGGTTCCTGCAGGGAGACCCCCAGGGATGGCTGCACCTTCTCACCCCCCACTGTCGCCCTGGCCTCTGCTGCTCACCAGCCTGGGAGGGAATGGGTCTGGGCCAAGGCTGGTGAGGCTGGTGGCCCTGGGTGACAGGTGTCACATGCCCTCCCTTGGCTTTTCTGATGAGCCCCTCTGCCTTTGCTCAGATGACCCAGCTCATGAAGGCCGCCAAGAGCGGGACCAAGGATGGGCTAGAGAAGACAAGGATGGCTGTCATGCGCAAAGTCTCCTTTCTGCACAGAAAAGATGTCCTCGGTGAGGCTGCCGGCCTGGAGTGTCCGGTGTTCTGCCCTGTGCTGGGGCCTGGAGGAGGGCAAGTGTTTGCTCCACACCCTCGAGGTCATGCTGGGCAGGGGTGCCACTCGGGCAGTGGGGGTTGGGGACTGAGTCCTGAATGTCCTGGTTGGTCCCAGGGTGTTGACTGCTCCTCTGGCAGGTGGGGCCTATCTCTTCTGGGAGGGGCAGGGCCTCTCCCTTCGGTGTCCCTGCCCTTGCTCTTTGTCACAGCTGTCTTGGCCTCCTGCCTCCCACTGAACACCTACTAAGTGCCACGCCCCATGCTGTGTGCAGGGGCACCGAGTTGAATTTAACAGCATCTCCTCCAGGGGCTCCTGGCCCACGGAGGAGACAGGCATGTAAATGAGAAATGACAGTACATGGTGACAAATGGTGCAGCGGGCTACCCTGGGGCAGTGTGGAGGACATGAGTAAGGAATGGGGGAATGACAGCTCAGGGAATGAGCAGGAGCGTGAGGTCACCAGGCAGACGGGGACAGGTGCTCTGGGAGGGAGAGTGAGCATGTGCACAGCCCCGGAGGCAGGAAAGCGGGAGACGTTCAGGAAGTGATTTCATGGTGGTCGGCACTGATTGATTATTTGTCACATGCCAGGCACTCTTACTCGTCTAAACACCAAACAAGGGGCAGAGGGCGGTCATGTTCCCATGCTGCAGATGAGGGGCTCAGGGGCTTGCCTGAGGACACACATGCACGGAAGGGATGGAGGGGACTCATCTGGCCGAAGTGAGGGTGGGGGTGAGAGGTCAGGGCCAGGTCAACAGGGGCTCCATGGTCCTTGTTGACCATTTGTCTTTGATCATTAGAGGGTTTTAGGCAGAAGTATCCCATGGTCAGATTTGATCAATGGTTCGTTCATCCAACCAGTTTTATTAAGCATGTACTATGTGCTAGGAACTGTCCTAGAGTCTTGGGACACAGCTGTGAACAAGGCAGATAAAAATACTACGCTGGAGGAGCTGATGTTCTAGTCAGGGGAGATGGAAGCTAAATGCATAAATAAATAGGTATTTAATGTAATGTGAGGTAGTGATAAGAGCTCTGGGGAAAAAATGAAGCAGGGGAAGGGGTTAGGTGGGGGAGGGGATAGGCAGGAGAAAGGAGGTAGGTGGGGGAGGAGGAGGTGGGGGGAGAGGTCCCAGCAGAGGAACCGCAGCGTGGCCTTGCCCGAGCCCGAGAACCTTCCCCTGGAGGCTCCAGAGCGCTGGCTGCTCGCTGGCTTTCCCGGCTTGCTCTGGGTCTTCTTTAGCCTGAAGGACTGGGACCTGCCCGAGTCCTTCACCCCAGGACCTGCTGCCAGGCAGCAAGGCCAAGGCTCCTCTGCCTGGTTTCTGTGCCCCCGTCCACAGACCCATCTGCTCACCTGACCCTTCTCGGCCTTCCTCCCTGTCCTGGCTGCTCTCACGTCCTGTCCCTGTTCCCCTGAAGCTCCCATAGGTGTCCACCCTTTGCTCCTGGTCCCCACCAGGGCTCTGGTTCCTTGTGCCCGAGAATGCCCACGGTGGGGCCCTTCACATGTTCCCAGGCACTAGGGACGGAGGGGCAGGGTGAAGCAAGACCCAACCCCTGCCTTGTGTAGCTCATGTCTTTGGGGGCAACAGACGAGGAGACATGAAATGCCAGTGCAGCGGGCTACCAGCCGATGACCTCTGGGCAAAATCCTGGGGATGCCAGTTCTCCTTGGAACAAAGGAGGCCTTGCTCGGGGAGCGCCTGCCACCTGTCCTCTCGGTTCACGGTCTGGTACGTGGAAGGAACACAGGCTTCAAGCCAGGGAGAGCTCTGAGAGCCTGCACCCTCTTGGAGAGTGCTGTGTTTTAACCTCTCTGTGCCTCGGTTTCCTCATCTGTACAATGGGGCCAATAATGGCATCAGTGAGGATGACAGGTAGGCATGGAGAGAGCCCCGTGTGGCAGATGTTATTCCTGGTGGGCGGTCAGTCACTAAATGGAGGCATTTGGTGCTGAGATGGCCACATGCTAACTTGGTCAAATCCAGGCTGTGTCACCTTGCACAGTCCTCCCCCTCTGGAGCGGCAGCTTCCTCATCTGTGAAATGGGTTTAGCCTCACCACTCCATGTGCTTGGTGCGACACTAGACTGGGGTAGGCCCATAACGTGCCTGGCTTGTGCTGGGTGCTCGGTGAATGTGCATGCTCCCTCTACTTTTGGAGGAACACCAGCCCCTGACCAGGGAGGAAACAGGCTGGGTGGCCATTCTCAACCTATTGGGATGGTCTGGAGAAAGGACAGGGTAGACAGGCCGGCTGGCTGGGAACTGTGCCTGGGCCTCTGTCCCTACCCCCAGGCCGGCCAGCGGGCTGTCCCCAGGCCCTCCCCACCCCGCCCATGAACCCAGAGCCTTTCCTAAAGTGACCCTCCCACCAGAGGCGTTATTAATAGCCGCGGCAGGGCTCGAATCACAGGCCAAGAATGTTACCCGGCGGTGCACGGGGGAAGAGGAAGCCGCGGGGCCGGCGGCTGGGGTGGGTGCGGAGTGATGCCCGGGGCATCATGTGGGCCAGGCAGGAGGGCCTTCGCCACCCCCACCCCCACCCCCACGCTGTCGTCCGCTGTCCCTCCTCCTCCTCCTCTTCCATCTCCTGCTCAGGTAAGGGCCCGCCTGGGTGTCCCTGCTCCCTCGGCCCCCTGGGGTCGCTGCTACTTCTTCTTTCTTCCCCAGCTTGCCCACAGCTGCCACTTCCTGCTGCCCGCGGTCACCACTGGGCGTCAGAGCCACTGAGCAGCTGGGGTCCCATCTCCCTGTCCCTGTGCCTCTCTCATGCGGGGGCTAGAACCCTCCAAGGACAGGTCCCTCATGCTGCCTGCCCTCCCTGTCCCCTCCCTCTCAGAGGCCTGGGCCTTTGTCCGTCTCGTTCCGTCCAAGTCTGTCTCCCTGTCCCTGTGCCTCTCTCATGCGGGGGCTAGAACCCTCCAAGGACAGGTCCCTCATGCTGCCTGTCCTCCCTGTCCCCTCCCTCTCAGAGGCCTGGGCCTTTGTCCGTCTCGTTCCGTCCAAGTCTGAGGTCTACCCCCACTCATGCCTGGGATTCCCTGTCTGACTCCAGTTGAATTTTTTCCCTTTTGGGTCTCCTTGCATTTTTTTGAAAAAAAATGAAAGTCTGAAGCCAAACTGTCCCATTCTTCTTGGGGCTTATTTTCTTCCCTCTTTTAGGCGTCCGGCAGAAAACTATTTTTAGTGCCTAGTGATGGGGACATGGGTGGCAGGGCTTTGCCAGGCCAGAAGCGGGCGGGTCTGAGCAGGGACAGTGACTTCTGCCAGAGCCGATTCTGAGAGTCCAGGCCCCATAGGATGCTACATTGTATTCCCTCCCGTTCACTCTCTGGCTCGCTTGCTCACAGGCATTTATTTGCCGATGGACTATTCCAGGCCCTGGGGGCTGGCAGTGAACGTGTGTGGACGGGCCAGGGAGTCGGCTGTGTCCCCGGATGGCTGCTCATCCCCTAGGACCCAAGTCCAGGGCTGGTCCAGGGTGGTGCTCAGCTCTTGGGGCCTGAGCAAGGTGTGTTGTCCTTACCTTAGCTGTGTCATCGGTCTGTCTGACTTTCCAGGTGACTCAGAGGAAGAGGACATGGGGCTCCTGGAGGTCAGTGTCACCGACATTAAGCCTCCAGCCCCAGAACTGGGCCCCATGCCAGACGGCCTGAGCCCTCAGCAGGTACGTGGGGAGAGTGGCTGGGAGGGGGGCTGCAGGAGGTCTCACCTATGACCTGGGGCCACGCTGGTCTGGGTCTTGAAGGGGAAGTGGCAATCAGAGGGCTCTTTGTAGAGCCCCAGCTGGGGGGGCCTCCTGGGTTCGCTTCTCAGTGGCTGACCAGGCTTTCCAAATCGGACCCTCGGATTCCATGCTGTTGATTAGGGGGCGGTGGAATCCCAGCATGTGGAGCGCTTGCCTCCCCCACACCCCCATGGTAACCAGAGCAAGTCCTATTAACTGTTTCTAACTGAGGTGCCGTTCGAAGTAAACGACGCTGTAAAGCACTGAACTAACTCAGGGAAGACTGCAGGTGTGTAGGTGCCCAGCCCCCGCCCTCTGTCCACCTGTCATCACCCTGGGCCTTGGAGTCACCACGAGCTAATGCCAGGAGCTGGGGCTCTTCAAGTGATGTCTTCTTTTCCCCAGAGTATAACACTGAGATCGGGCAGCTTTGCTCTAGGACCTTGGCCCAGTTGTGTTTTTTTCCCCTCCCAGCCTGGGTTTTGGCAGCCATGAAATAGGATGTGAGATCCTGGTTCCTCTGGTTGTGAGGACGCTGAATGAGATGTGTCGGGGCAGCAAGCTCTGTAGAAGGGATTTGCCCACTTTTTGGGTGGCAGAAAATCCTGATGTTTGGCCTCTTTTGAAGATAAGGAAGATAAAGCCACACTGGCCCATGCTGGCAGCAGTTGGCTGGAGCCGTGGTGGAGCATGTCCATTGTGGGGATACTCACTCTCCAGCTCTGCCCAGAGCAGAAAGTCACTGTCAGGGAGCCAGGCAGACCCCCAGGCTTTCCGCTAACACACCAGGCCTCCTCCTTCTGGCACGAGCTGGGTCTCTCTTTACTGCAGCCTTTTGCATTTCCTGGATCAGGAAATATCAGTCACTCTAGACCAGTAGGTCCCAACTGAGGGTGACTTTTGCCCCATAGGGGACATTTGGCAATGTCTGTAGACATTTTTTGTTGTCATGACTCAGGGTTGCTACTGGTATCTGGTGGGTAGAGGCCAGGGAAGCTGCTAACCATCCCACAAGGCACAGGACAATCCCCGTCAGAGTTACTCAGCCCCAAGCCTCCACGTGCTGAGGGTCAGAACTCTGCTCTGGGTGCTGCTTGGACACTGGGGATTGGTAACAAGGCATCCAGCTTGCAGAACGGTGGCCTTGCCTACCTGCTGGGGCTGTGTGGGCCATGGTCAGGCTGGGCCATGGGTAGGGCAGTGGGGAGAGACGTGAAGTGTGTGGCCGAGGCAGGAGGGAGGCAGCAAGAGCCTGGCATCTGGTGATGATGGGTGCCTGGATCGGCACTCTTAGGACAGCTGTTAAGGGTAGAGTGAGAGTCAGTCACCCTCCCAGCCCTGGATCAAGAATAGGCTCCCCCCTTGGACACCTCTCACATACAACACCTTTTGTGAGTGCTGCCCCAGCTTTGCTGCACAATAGAGTTTCTGGGGAAGATTTAAAAAACCCGGATGCCCAGGTCACATCCTGTACCAATTAAACCAGAATGTGGGAGCCAGGTGACAGTATGTTGTAAAGATCCCCACGGGATTCCAATGTGCAGCAAAGTTTGGGACCCAACACTCTGCCGTATCCAGGTGAGGGAGTCCCCCCATGCTTGACCAGGTGCTTGTTAGGCTGTAGCTGAGGGGCAGCAGTTCCCTTTGTGGTCCGTGCTTTTGGAGGAACTGATTCAGGCTGAGGAGAGACCAGCAAGAGGGAAAGGGGAAGGGACTGTGGATGTTTAACCTGAAGCAGAGACCTCTGGTGGGGTGTGAGGGTCCCCCAAGGAACTATCCTGTGGAAGAGGGATTGCTCAAGGATTCCATCTGCAACAAGTGGGGGAAGCTGAGATTTCACTTCAGCCTAAGAAAAGATTTTCTAGTAGAGTTACCCAGAGAGAGGAAGGTTGCCAGACACTGTGGAGGAGAGGTGCTGATTCCCCCGCCCCCGGGTGTATGCGAGTGGAGGCTGGGCAGGGCTGGCACCGGGTACATGCCCTCCCTCCCCTGTTCTGCAGTTTGGGCAGCACGTGTTTCTCTCAGTTGGCAGGGACTCTGAAAGGAAGTGCATCCCACCAGGCCCCAGTGGTCCCAGGCACAGCTCTGGGAGGGACAGTCCCTCTGTGCAATAGTTGCCAGCCCCCCTCCTGTCACCTGGGGCTCAGCACAGCAGGTGCAGCTCTATGTGGTGTGTGTTGGATGCACTGACCATGCTTTTTGGCTCGAGCAGGTGGTCCGGAGGCACATCCTGGGCTCCATTGTGCAGAGCGAGGGCAGCTACGTGGAGTCTCTGAAGCGAATACTCCAGGTGCGACTTCAGGGAGGGAGGACCCCAGAGGGACACTTTACAAGGAGAGTCTGGGGACTTGGGCAGTTTTATGGGGAATGGTCCAAAAGCCAGCACTTTGATGGGGACAGCAGGATCACCAAATGGGGGACACCAAGAATTCCTGATGTCTCAGTGTTCACAGGAATGACTGTCTTTTCTGAAATGAAATTGAGATTGTTTTAAATGTGGGCTGCCCCAGAGGGTTGAGGGCATGTGGCCCTTTTTATGTCTGGAAGCAACTGTGTCTTCCCTGCCACTCTGGGAGCCCCTGGGGCCGGGGCTGTGTCTCCTCATTATCCTGGGGCTCCCCAGATGAGGGTAAGATCATGGGCTGCCCCAGAGGGTTGAGGGCATGTGGCCCTTTTTATGTCTGGAAGCAACCGTGTCTTCCCTGCCACTCTGGGACCCCCTGGGGCCGGGGCTGTGTCTCCTCATTATCCTGGGGCTCCCCAGATGAGGGTAAGATCACACCCTCTTTCTCACATCAGGATGCTAATAATCAGGATTATTAGTAAGAATTGAGATAACGAATTATTGTTAACAATCAGGATTATTGTTAAGTGCTAGGTCTAGGAGCCAAGGTAGCTTGCGGTGACCTTTCTGCTCCATTGGATGGACTGGCCCAGGGCCCAGCAGAGCCAAACAGGGCTGGCCCTGCCCCTGGGCTGCCTCCACGGAGCTCCTTGTAGGTAGGTGGTGCATAAGAGACTCTTCGTCCTAACCCAGCTTAACACAGAAGTGATGGGGGGTGGGTTGTGTGTGGGCAAAGAGAGGCCAGGAGTGTTATGTTCACTATCCTTCTAGAAGGACATGAAGAGTGAAGGGTAAGTGTCGCCCTACAGGAAGGCCCATCCATAGTCTGCTGAGTGCTGCCTGGCCTTGTTGAGTTGCTGTGAAGGCAGGAAGGCAGGTTGGCCTCTGGCCTCACCCCCGCCCACCTCTGGCAGGATTACCGCAACCCCCTGGTAGAGATGGAACCCAAAGTGCTGAGCGCCCGCAAGTGCCAGGTGGTGTTCTTCCGCGTGAAAGAGATCCTGCACTGCCACTCCATGTTCCAGATTGCCCTGTCTTCCCGTGTGGCTGAATGGGACTCCACTGAGAAGATCGGAGACCTCTTCGTGGCCTCGGTAGGTGTCCCCAGACTCTTTCCCCAGCCCACCAAGGTAAAACCACAGCCAGCCTGACCCCAGGGGCCATCCGGTCCACCCTCCTGCCTCTGCCTGGTTGCCTTGTCCAAGCCAATGGGATCAGAGGGTGGCAGGGCATCTGAGTCTTTCTGGCCTGAGCTGGGGGTGGGCGTGACACCTCGAAGTGCCTGGGATGTCCATGGAGCTGTCTGTTAGGCTGTGGTGCTAGTGAAGCCAGGTCTCTGTCCCAGCTCTGCCTAGGNGAGTCTCTGAAGCGAATACTCCAGGTGCGACTTCAGGGAGGGAGGACCCCAGAGGGACACTTTACAAGGAGAGTCTGGGGACTTGGGCAGTTTTATGGGGAATGGTCCAAAAGCCAGCACTTTGATGGGGACAGCAGGATCACCAAATGGGGGACACCAAGAATTCCTGATGTCTCAGTGTTCACAGGAATGACTGTCTTTTCTGAAATGAAATTGAGATTGTTTTAAATGGGGGCTGCCCCAGAGGGTTGAGGGCATGTGGCCCTTTTTATGTCTGGAAGCAACTGTGTCTTCCCTGCCACTCTGGGAGCCCCTGGGGCCGGGGCTGTGTCTCCTCATTATCCTGGGGCTCCCCAGATGAGGGTAAGATCACACCCTCTTTCTCACATCAGGATGCTAATAATCAGGATTATTAGTAAGAATTGAGATAACGAATTATTGTTAACAATCAGGATTATTGTTAAGTGCTAGGTCTAGGAGCCAAGGTAGCTTGCGGTGACCTTTCTGCTCCATTGGATGGACTGGCCCAGGGCCCAGCAGAGCCAAACAGGGCTGGCCCTGCCCCTGGGCTGCCTCCACGGAGCTCCTTGTAGGTAGGTGGTGCATAAGAGACTCTTCGTCCTAACCCAGCTTAACACAGAAGTGATGGGGGGTGGGTTGTGTGTGGGCAAAGAGAGGCCAGGAGTGTTATGTTCACTATCCTTCTAGAAGGACATGAAGAGTGAAGGGTAAGTGTCGCCCTACAGGAAGGCCCATCCATAGTCTGCTGAGTGCTGCCTGGCCTTGTTGAGTTGCTGTGAAGGCAGGAAGGCAGGTTGGCCTCTGGCCTCACCCCCGCCCACCTCTGGCAGGATTACCGCAACCCCCTGGTAGAGATGGAACCCAAAGTGCTGAGCGCCCGCAAGTGCCAGGTGGTGTTCTTCCGCGTGAAAGAGATCCTGCACTGCCACTCCATGTTCCAGATTGCCCTGTCTTCCCGTGTGGCTGAATGGGACTCCACTGAGAAGATCGGAGACCTCTTCGTGGCCTCGGTAGGTGTCCCCAGACTCTTTCCCCAGCCCACCAAGGTAAAACCACAGCCAGCCTGACCCCAGGGGCCATCCGGTCCACCCTCCTGCCTCTGCCTGGTTGCCTTGTCCAAGCCAATGGGATCAGAAGGTGGCAGGGCATCTGAGTCTTTCTGGCCTGAGCTGGGGGTGGGCGTGACACCTCGAAGTGCCTGGGATGTCCATGGAGCTGTCTGTTAGGCTGTGGTGCTAGTGAAGCCAGGTCTCTGTCCCAGCTCTGCCTAGGCGGCAATACCTGCAGGAGACCAGCTGGCCTCCTAGTCACTGTGGGCAGTGACCTGTCAGGTCAGAAGCTCCCTTACGGAGCATTTATGGAGTGACCACTGTTTGAAATGTTTGCACAGACCATGACCTTGGCTCCGAGAGGGTGTTACATGGTGTTGGGGAATGGTCCAGGAGACCTAGTTCCACTCCCAGCTCAGTTTTGCAACCTCCGGCAGATCCAGGGCCCTCTCTGGACTTGGGTTCCCTATGCGTGGAATGAGGGTGTACACTGGATTTCTGGTTTTTCAAACCTAAGTCCATGGGCCTCAGAGATTCTTGGGGTGGGGGGTTAAGTCAGTGGAACTCCACTTTGATGTATTTAGGTAATTGAGTTTTGCTAAAAGAAAAATTCACTTTTTTGAAAACCACTGTGATCAATAGATCCACAAAATATATCTGACATCCTGGGTCGGGGTGTCCAAGGGGCTCTGGTGAGAGGGTTGGTTGGCTGCAGCAATTCAACTCTAGGCTCACCACCCTGGGGAGAAGCCCGGAGCACCATCCTCGAGGGCGCAGGGCGAGGGGCATTTTATTCCTGGAAGGGATGAGGAATGAGTGTAGCAGAAGGAACGTCCCCCCGTCCCGACCCCGTCCTCTTCCCTTCCTGGGTAGGCTCGGGCTGCTGAGCTAGAGAAAGACGCCTGGGAGGCAAAGGCCCCTGGGCTCTCCCTTGGCACCACCTGGGTCTATATGTGGCCTCGGGCCAGCCTCTTCACCTCTCTGAGCCCGGTTCCCTCACCTCGGTGAGGGTGACAGGTTCACTCCCCTCGGGGCTGTTGGGGTCATCCAGGCTGTGCTGGAAGAAGCTTATGGCCGCGAGTGAGTGCGGGGTGAGCGCCCTTCCCCTTCCCCGCATTGACGCTGCCCTCCCAGCCCATGCCGGCACCTCCACCTCGTTACAGTTCTCCAAGTCCATGGTGCTCGACGTGTACAGCGACTATGTGAACAACTTCACCAACGCCATGTCCATCATCAAGAAGGCCTGTCTCACCAAGCCGGCGTTCCTCGAGTTCCTCAAGGTGGCCTCCCTAGCAATGGACCTCACTCAGTCCATCCGAGGAGCACCGACCCTAGTATGAGACTCACTCCTGCCAGCCAAAAAGACAGAGGTAACAGCCAAATGGCAAGGTCTTTACACTGACCTTGGGTGACAGCTGCATCACCTACAGACAGACATGGGAGGCACAGGAGACACCAGAGACTGTGCATGGATCCAAGACTACACCCCAAGCAACCATTCTGCAAAAAACATCCCTGACACAAATCTGCTGAAGCAACTCTTCCAAATGGATGGCTCCCAGGACATGCCCTGTTTTGCCCTACAATGTTTGACAAATTTTGAATCAAGGTGACATTTGGACATCAGAAGCTTTCACAGAGAAGTCTCAATTTCTGGACTTGGAAATAGTCAGGAATACTGGGGTGGCATTTCCATACTCATTCAGTGAGTAAGTGGAGACATCTACTTTGTGCCAGGCACTGGAGACACAGACCCAAATTCCTGCCCATGTGGAGCTGACAACATAATGGGAGAGACAGACAATTAATCAGTACACCAACAGTTATAGGACGGAATGTAGCTAGCAAGAGGTGCATAAAGAAAAATAAAAGGAGGTTGAGGGGACAGAGAATGGCAGAGGCAGCTCTCCTATAGCTAAGCTGAATAGGGAAGGCCTCTCTGAGAAGAAAACATCAGAGCAGCAGAAGCATCACAGATCAGGAGTGAGCCTCAGGATATCTAGGGTAACCGTGTCCCAGGCAGAGGAAAAAGCAGGTGCAAAGGCCGTGGGGCTGGAAACTGCTAGTTGTGCAAAGAACTTCAAGGAGGCAAGTGTGGCTGAGCAGAGCGAGGGACAGTGAGAGGAGAGAGAGATGAACTCAGAGAGGAAACGTGGAAGAGATTGTGTAGGACCTTGCAGTGAGGAATTTGGATTTTACTGAGTGACTGGAGAGCCGCTGGAGGGTTTTCAGTGGAAGAGTGACGTCAACTGACTTAGCATTAGCTACTGAGTCGAGAACAGACCATAGAGGACAAGGTAGAGGCAACTAGACCCACTGGGAGTTGTGGCAGTGGCCCAAAAGAGAGGTGGAGTGCAGGAGCTACAGAGCAGCTGGACTCTGGACAGACTCTGAAGGTACCCCAAGGGTGTGGTCCAGGGCCCTTTCACCAGGGTGCTGGTGGGGGCAGGGCAGGAAGGCTGCTCGAGAGGAGGGAGCATATTGGCCTCAGACTTGGGTATCATCTTATGGCTTTGGTCTGGACACCTCTCCTCTTTCCTTTGGGGCACCAGGAAGAAAATTGTTTCCTTCTGCCCCCCGGGAGGAGGGTTATAAAGAGTTAAAGTGTCTGCAAGCAGCTTGGGATCCTAGAGCTTCAATGGGGTGGAAGGGGAGACTTGTGTCAGCTCCCCAATCCCTCACCTCCTGTACCTGTGTGCACAGGTGTGTCTGCCGGGCTGAACCAGCTGGGGCCTGTCCTTCTGGTGGGCCATGGCTCAGGGGGTTGCTTAGCTGTTCCCTTTTCCTCATTTGTAAAAAGATGAGGAAAATTCCTTGAAGGGGTGTCTTGGTCATCACCCCTGATTTCCTAGGGAGNCTGTGATCAATAGATCCACAAAATATATCTGACATCCTGGGTCGGGGTGTCCAAGGGGCTCTGGTGAGAGGGTTGGTTGGCTGCAGCAATTCAACTCTAGGCTCACCACCCTGGGGAGAAGCCTGGAGCACCATCCTCGAGGGCGCAGGGCGAGGGGCATTTTATTCCTGGAAGGGATGAGGAATGAGTGTAGCAGAAGGAACGTCCCCCCGTCCCGACCCCGTCCTCTTCCCTTCCTGGGTAGGCTCGGGCTGCTGAGCTAGAGAAAGACGCCTGGGAGGCAAAGGCCCCTGGGCTCTCCCTTGGCACCACCTGGGTCTATATGTGGCCTCGGGCCAGCCTCTTCACCTCTCTGAGCCCGGTTCCCTCACCTCGGTGAGGGCAACAGGTTCACTCCCCTCAGGGCTGTTGGGGTCATCCAGGCTGTGCTGGAAGAAGCTTATGGCCGCGAGTGAGTGCGGGGTGAGCGCCCTTCCCCTTCCCCGCATTGACGCTGCCCTCCCAGCCCATGCCGGCACCTCCACCTCGTTACAGTTCTCCAAGTCCATGGTGCTCGACGTGTACAGCGACTATGTGAACAACTTCACCAACGCCATGTCCATCATCAAGAAGGCCTGTCTCACCAAGCCGGCGTTCCTCGAGTTCCTCAAGGTGGGTCCAAGGGTGGTCCAGGTCCCTTTCACCAGGGTGCTGGTGGGGGCAGGGCAGGAAGGCTGCTCGGGAGGAGGGAGCATATTGGCCTCAGACTTGGGTATCATCTTATGGCTTTGGTCTGGACACCTCTCCTCTTTCCTTTGGGGCACCTGCAGTTCCATGGGAAGAAAATTGTTTCCTTCTGCCCCCTGGGAGGAGGGTTATAAAGAGTTAAAGTGTCTGCAAGCAGCTTGGGATCCTAGAGCTTCAATGGGGTGGAAGGGGAGACTTGTGTCAGCTCCCCAATCCCTCACCTCCTGTACCTGTGTGCACAGGTGTGTCTGCCGGGCTGAACCAGCTGGGGCCTGTCCTTCTGGTGGGCCATGGCTCAGGGGGTTGCTGAGCTGCTCCCTTTTCCTCATTTGTGAAAAGATGAGGAAAATTCCTTGAAGGGGTGTCTTGGTCATCACCCCTGATTTCCTAGGGAGCACAGACTGATGAGCCAGACAGAGCCCCTACCTGCAGGGAGCCTGCTGTCTAGTAGAAGATGCAGGTGGGCTAGGTGCTGGGGCCTCAGCAGTGGAGCCCACTACCTTGATTGAATAGGACACAGGGTTGGGAGGGGCTTTCTCAAGGGGGTTCCATCTAACATGGGTCTGAGTGGGGAAAGGGGGATTGTGACAGATGTCAATGGAAGAGAGGGTGTTCCACGTGCAAGGATAGTGGGGCAAAGGTCAGAGGCAGGAGGGTGGGGGGAGGGGAGCAAGTCTGGGTAGATTCTGGAAGCACTGGAGGACTGTTGGGGAGTCCCAGGAGAGAAGGCCGAGAGGCAGCTGAGTTGAATTTGGATGGTTCTGGACCTCCAGGCCCCGGCAATAAGGAGCCATTGAAGAGTTTTGAGCTGAGGCAGAAGGAAGTGGAGGCTGGTGGAGAAGCTGTGGGGTTGCAGGGCATGAGGGCTGGGACAAAGGTAACAGGCATGTAGATGGAGAGGTGGAACAGGTGCGAGAGACAGTACAGTTAGAGTCCCCTGTGCCCTGCCCTGCATCCTGGCCCTGGACCCATCTGCTTTTAGTTTAAGTGGAGGGAGTGGTTGTCTTCGCTGCTATTAGAAGTCTGACCTCTTGAATAAGTTGCTGAATTTCCCAGTTATGCCTTTAGTTCAGAGACCTTGAATGGCTGCTGTAGTCTCCCGAGGGTGCAGGACCATGCAGGTGACCCCAGTGGTGGCAAGAACCCCTGGCTGTGGAACCAGGGACCTCCTTTGGCTTTTTTCTCAGACCCAATGCTGAGCAGGGTCCTAGGGCCCGGGGAGAGGATCCCAGAATAGGGACCCTGTCTGGACCCTGGGGCACAGGACACTCTCTAGTTCAGAGACCTTGAATGGCTGCTGTAGTCTCCCGAGGGTGCAGGACCATGCAGGTGACCCCGGTGGTGGCAAGAACCCCTGGCTGTGGAACCAGAAACCTCCTTTGGCTCTTTTCTCAGACCCAATGCTGAGCAGGGTCCTAGGGCCCGGGGAGAGGATCCCAGAATAGGGACCCTGTCTGGACCCTGGGGCGCAGGACACTCTCTGCAGAGGGACAGTGAGTGATATGACCTTGTCTCCAACAGCGGCGGCAGGGGTGCAGCCCAGACCGCGTTACCCTCTATGGGCTGATGGTGAAGCCCATCCAGAGGTTCCCGCAGTTCATCCTCCTGCTTCAGGTACTGCCTGGTAGTCAGACCACCATCTGACTCACAGGGTGTGGCCTATGGGCTGATGGTGAAGCCCATCCAGAGGTTCCCGCAGTTCATCCTCCTGCTTCAGGTACCGCCTGGTAGTCAGACCACCATCTGACTCACAGGGTGTGGCTGTGGGCTGGTGGGAGCCTCCCAGGTGGGGGGTAGGAGGCCCTGTTCTCATGCACTGTCCACAACACACCCCACGTGCTGTGGGGCTCCGGACTCACCTTTGTCCACAGCTAGTGTGGAAGCAATCCCATTCGACAGCTTGTTTTTCACTTCCCCCTGTGGGGAATACTGAGTGGCAGGTGGTGGTGTGAGCCCAGGTTGCAGGGGCTCCGGACTCACCTTTGTCCACAGCTAGTGTGGAAGCAATCCCATTCGACAGCTTGTTCTTCACTTCCCCCTGTGGGGAATACTGAGTGGCAGGTGGTGGTGTGAGCCCAGGTTGCAGGAAGGAGCTGCAGGGCTCCTGGCACGGAGGAGATGCTCAGTAAACGTGCTGACCTTGGCCAGTTCAGGCTTCCACTTCAGAACGGGCTCAGGATGTCTGAGGGAGTGTTAGCCCCACACAGGGCTCTGAGAGCGTGGGACACTGCCCAGGGTCCTCAGTCAGGGGCTGATCTCCCACCGGGGAGCTGAGAGGGACCACCAGGCTGGGGGCCCAGTGGCATTCCCTCTCTGTCCTCAGAGCTGTTGGGCTGCGAGAGTGGGCTCTGGTGTAAGCAACCTGCTTTTCAATTAGTCAGTGATTGATCCATGCACTTATTTGTTTGTATCACCATCTTAACCGTTTTTAAGTGTGTCGAGCAGTGGCATTAAGCTCATTCCCACTGTTGTGCAGCCATCACCACTGTCCATCCCAGAACTTTTCCATCTTCCCAAACTGAAGCTCTGTCCCCATTGAACAGCAACTCCCCGTTTCCCCCTCCCCCAGCCCCTGGTAAGCACCTTCTAGTTTCTGTCTCTATCTGTGTATTTGGCTACTCTAGGAATCACACATACGTGGAATCATACAATATCTGTCTTTTGTGACTGGCTTATTTCACTTAGCATAATGTCCTCAAGGTTCATCCGTGTTGTAGCATGTGTCAGAATTTCCTCCTTTTTAAGGCTGGATAATACTCCGCTGTACGGATGGACCACATTTTGTCCGTTCATCTGTCAGTGGACACTTGGGTTGTACCCACCTTTTAGCTATTGTGAATAATGCTGCTGTGATCATGGGTGTATAAATATCTCTTTAAGATCCCGCTTTCAGTTCTTTCGGGGATGTACCCAGAAAGAGCCATGCATTGATTTATTTTTTTTATTCATTAGCTGTTTCTTGAGGCCTTATTCTGTGTCTGACACCAATTGTCCTTGCTGCGAGCTGGGCCTTTTCCAGACCTGGTCTATGTAGGAGGGGTGGAGGGTGAGGCTTTGATCCTAGACCAGAGTCCTTACATGGCTGCTGTAGTGTCTGAGGGTGCGGGGACCATGCAGGGGACTCCAGTGGTGGCAGGGTTTCCTGGCTGTAGAGCCAGGGACCTCCCTCGGCTCTTTGGCCCCGAGACCGAGCAGGGTCCTGGGGTCTGAGGAGAGGAGCCCAGAATGGGTCTGCTGCTGTGGGGTAAGGTCCTCAGTCTGGGCTCTCCCTGGGTGCTGGCAGGACATGTTGAAGAACACCCCCAGGGGCCACCCCGACAGGCTCTCGCTGCAGCTGGCCCTCACGGAGCTGGAAACACTGGCCGAGAAGCTGAATGAGCAGAAGCGGCTGGCCGACCAGGTGGCTGAGATCCAGCAGCTGACCAAGAGCGTCAGTGACCGCAGCAGCCTCAATAAGGTGAGTGCCACGAGCCTCCCCATGTGGGTGCCTACCTGCTCTGCAGCCTTCCTCACCTGTGGCTTGCGCTCCTGGCCCGTGGCCACCCACTAGGTGGCAGTGTTCTCTGAAGGAGGGTTGCCTTGCTTCTCTAAGCTCACAGACTTTACCTTAAGGATTAGATTCTTCACCAGACCCCCACATTGCATTCCTTTTCATATTATTTTATAACAAAAGCTGATTTTGCTCATCAGTATAATTGCCAATAAAACTACCAGAAATGATAGACTAGTATTGTGGTTAAGTGAGGGGGCTCTGGAGTCCGAGTCTGGGTTTGAATCCAGATTTTGCCACTGGTGCTTGCTGTGTGGCCTTAGGGAAATCACCCAACCTCTCTGAACCTCACTTGCTCCCTCTGAAATGAGGACAGTTCCATAGCACTTGATCCCCAGGGCTGCTGCAAGGTGAATGAGGAGCTGGTAAAGCAGCACCCTGAGAGTCCTTCATCAAAGAAGAAAGATGAAAAATCCATGCCATGTTTTGGGGTTGCAACGTAGGAAATCTTAGTAAGAAAAAAATCTCAAATAAGTCTGTAAAGAATCTGTTTTTAAATACAAGGTCCCCTCACCGAGTCACCTGTTGGTAAACTGAAGTCCCTCTATTTTCCTAGGGGCAAGTGACATGAGCCGCCTGCAGCTACACCTTGGTCTCTGGGAGGTCCTGCACCTCAGTCCCACCTTCTCACCCACTGGAGGGGGAGGTGGGTGGGATGGTTCAGGGTGAGGTGACCCTGCCCTGGGCATGTTGGATGACCATTCTCTGGAGAAGGGACGCTGTGTGGGGAGGGAGGTGTTCACATCTTCTGGGAAAAAAAAAAAAAAAACCAAAAGAAAACTGGGTCCCAAAAGCAGAACTAAGGCTAGTGGCTGGCAGTTTCTGGGAAGGAGATTTCAGCAGCATGAACTTTCCAATTGTCCTGGAAGGACTGCCAAGAGGGACAGCTGCCCTTTCCGTGTGCACTGCACTTCACAGTGTAGAGTGCTCTGTAACCTGCATTACCGTCTTTGATCTTCACCACAGGCTTGTGAAGCGGGGCTGGGACAAGATCACCTGTAGAGTCCCTTGCAGTTCTAAGTTTCAGGTGTCCTGCATCTTAAAACGCTTCTACTTCAGATGTAGGCTGCAGATGTGTTTTGGGACCCACACAGTATTTTTAAGAAAATGGAAGTAGTTACTAACATTTGAAAATTGAGAGGTGTCCCATAAATTCAGACTTGTGGATCTTCTAGAAGAGTTGGAAGAGCTGGTACACTGGACTACCTTCTTTTGTGGCACTGGTCACCTGAGTAGCAGCTGCCCACTTCCCCTGCGTCCCCATCCACCTTTTCCCACTAATGTTACCTGCTGGTCTCAAAGGCATCTGGGTTTGCTTCACCTGCTCCAGGAGGATAGAGCTGGGGAAGAAAAGACAGGGCAGGGAACAGAGCCCTGTCCTGGGGGGATGTCCCCATCCAGGATCGCTCAGGGTGGGCATGAGAAACAGGGGTCATTCCCTCAACCCCTGCCCCGAGGTAGAACTGACTCAACCGTCCCACTAAGCCGGCTGTTTTGGAATGTCTCTGGAGAGAAAGGCTTCCGTCTAGCCATGGCCCCCTGTGCTGGTCTTTCCTCTGCTCCTGCCCTCACTTCCTTTTTCTGTAGCCAAGAGTTTTTCTCTTGCTTTGGCTCATACACCTGTGCACGTTCTGTGGGAAGAGACTGCTCAGGAGAAGGAAATAAATCCTGTAGCGGTTGCCCCAGAAGGTTGCCTTTCCACTCTGTCCCATGGAGACCCAGACAGTAGAGTACGGTGGGCACTGGAGGTTGGGGAGACCCGTCTGATGTTGGGCGAGGGCCTAGACGCTCTGAGCCTCAGTTTTCCTATCCATTGAGTGAGGGGTGAGTTGGGAATGTGAGAGTTGGATGCTGTGGTGAAGAGAACAGTGGCAGCTGCACACTGCTCCTCCTGTTTCCGGGGTGCTCCTTGGGCAGTCCTGGCCAGTTCTGAGGTTTCCATTGCCATCACCCAGGAGAAGCAGAAACGAAACCGGGTGTAGCCTGAAACGGAACCATAGCGGCTATTTCAAAATAGCCTACTCAGGAGCCTCCAGAGGGATGTTTGTGCAATACCAGGGTTTTCTTTTCTTTTTCTTTTTTAAAAACTGCCTAAGGGGCAGGGGGACGATTGCCAGAAGCCCAGGGACTTTCCTCTTCTGAGTTTTGGGTCACAGCACACTTGGTGGCTGTGTAGGGCCCGCTGTTTTCAGAGTCCAAGGAGTGTTCTCATGAGCTGGAGCTTGGCTCACTTGTAAAAATAGGGGGGGTTGTTGAAGCCTGGCCTTAGCAGCTGTGGGGCTCCCTGAGTCCTCCTATGTGCCAGGAGCAGTGGGGCCTCCCCTGGTTCCTATCATGCCATGCACATGGTGCAGGGGATGCGCACGTGGCCTGGCTCCACCCTGTACCATCTGTCATTCAACAGGTGATAGATCTCAGCAAGTCACTTTTCCCCTGGAATCTAAGTTTTCTCATCTGAGAAATGGGAATAGCCTCAGAGGACTGCTGAACTGATTAAATGAGATGTGGAACGTTAAGTGCCACCCACAGTGCCTGACACACATTGGGTGTCATTGTTACTCTTCGGACTTTTTGTTGTGTTGACTTGAGAGACACGATTCTTTGGAGAGCCACAGAGCATTCTCTCCAGGGGAGGCTTTAGGGTGATCTGTCCTTTTCCCCTCCAGGATGGGGAAGGAAGGGGAGAGTAATAGTTGTCATTGGAGTCACATGTTTTGGGAAAGAATTTTGCTGAATATCCTCCCTCCCTCCACAAAAAAAAGTCCCTGTTAGGAAAAGGGATTTTTTCCCCAGGGATCCCTGGCGCTGGCAGCGGGTCTTGGTGTCCAGCCTGAGATTGGCAAATGCCTGTCCAGATGCCTTGGGCTTGAAAGTCTTTGGCCTCCTCTGATGGTGGCGTTATTGATGGCAGATCTGTTCCAGCCCCATCCTGAGGCCACCCAAGAGATGAGACAGGCCAAGGCTGTGTAGCAGGTCAGGGTGCAGTGTCAGGACCGATTTCCAGGCCAGGTGCTCCTGCACAAGGCCACGCCTCTCCACAGTGAAGGCAGCAGCTACCTATGCAGTGTCCATGGTGTGCCACACGCAGGGCTGGCCTCACGGGCATGTGGCTTGTGCCGTGACAGGTCCCGTGCTCGGGGGCCCCATGCCTGGTTTACAGCTCTGTTGTCCCGTCTTGAAATTCATAACTTTTGAACAAGAGCCTGAGTTTTCATTTTGCACTGGGCTCTACACATAATGCAGCCAGACCTGGTCATGTGTTCGTTGCCTTGCATGTGGTCTGAGCGGTAGAGGTTATTGCCCCCACTTGATAGCTGAGGAAACTGAGGCTCAGACAGGTGAAGTGACCTGCTTGAGGGCTTCACAGCTGGGGAGTGGGGTCCAGGGTTGGAGCTCATCTCTATGACTCCAGAGCTGTGTTTTTGGGGGTGATGATTGTGCCTTAGGGAAGGAACGGCGATGTCTGGCTCACCGGAGAAGGGGGTGCTGGCTGCCGGGCCTGGCTCATGCCACAGTGGGTGGCGAGGCTCCCCCAGGCCTCCCCAGAGAGGAGAACCCAACCTGAGGCCCTTTGGTCTTCCTCCACAGTGCATCTTGTCACCCAGGGATGGGGTGGGGGTGGCTCCGCCTCCTTCCCCGCCTCTCCCAGCCTCGGTCTCCCTTTTCTGCACTTTGGGAGAATTCTGGGCCTTTGGCACAGTGATGTTGGTGTGTCCCCCTGGGCCATGATGCTGATGTTGACCTTTCCTGCCCACCTCCCACAGCTTTTGACCTCTGGCCAGCGGCAGCTGCTCCTGTGTGAGACGCTGACGGAGACCGTGTATGGGGACCGTGGGCAGCTGATCAAGTCCAAGGAGCGCAGGGTCTTCCTGCTCAATGACATACTGGTCTGTGCCAACATCAACTTCAAGTAAGTGGGCCTGGGTCAGGATGGGTGGCCATGAGCAGTAGCCCTCCCTGGGTATCCCACCCTGACTTACCCCAGTCTTTTGGCAGGCCTCTCTGCAGTGGGGTCCTGTGTGAGCTTGGTTTAGAGCTCTGACATTCAGCCTTCCTCTTGGATATTCTGATATTCTCCCATCCTCTTGGCCTGCTGTGTCACTCACTGGTCACCAGTGCTGGGAGGTACCTGGGGAAGTCATCGGGCAGCCCCCAGCCTTCGGGCAAGCTGCTGTCCATTATTCAGAGTGGTCTGTTGTAGAACTCTGCATTCTGAACAGCTCCTGGGTTTTGACCACCTTGAAATTCAATAGATTCTTCCTTGTGTCCAACTCAGATCCCTGTTGCTTTAACTCAAGCTGGTTTTCTTCTGGCCACATTGCAGTGCTTCTCAGTGTGAGTCTCTGCCTTTCCCCACAAACTGGAGCATCTTCTGCCTGCAGGAGCCTGGGTTCCTCGTTCTGGGTCAGAGGCTTCAGAAATGCCTGGAGCCAAGTGCCAGGCTGTGGGCGAGAGTGATTTTTTAAGACCAGAGCCTGCAAACTGGTGGCCCGTGGGTTGCATCAGGCCTCCAGGAATCTTATGTTTAGCTCACACGGGGAGTTCACATAAAGGCTGAGACATTTGTCTTCTCTTAAAAATTGGGAGATCCAACATTCTGGGTCCACACCAGCTGAGGCCCCTGGGGCTGGGCCTCGGCTGCTTCTTCAGCGTCCCTCACTGGCTTGGCCACTCACTTGCTTGGCCTCGCGGGTGTCAGGGATTGCCACCCTTTACCAAATGCTCCCCGAGAACTCTAGCTGTGACCTTTCCATCAGGGCTCTTAGGAGAATGTCTGCTGTCAATATTTGACAAAGCTTTAAAAAGTGTCACAGAAGCAACAATATGGCAACAAGAACTGAGACCCAGAAGGGAAAACAGTCACCTGTAGTCTAGTCGCAGCCCGGCTCTCCCGTCTCCCAGCTAGAGCACAAGGGGTGACGCATGTGGAGCTTGATTTAGGCCCCGCACCCAGAGTCAGCTTGTGCATTCCTGGGTGCTGCTATGGAGTGGATTTGGGGATTGTCCGAGGTTATGGATCACGTGTCCTGGAAGGGGGGAGCAGGCAGGGCTATCTGGGGACCCACATATGCACTCACCATCTGCCCACCTGTCCATCCGTCTGTTAATCCATCAGGTATATACTGAGCCCTTAGTTGGTGCCATTTCACAGCCCTGTACAGACTCAGCCCCTGCCTTGTGGCCTGCTGGGAGATGCAGGCGGCGAAGCCTCTTCCACAGATGGGTGAGGACAGTGCTTATGGCTGACTCATTCATTCATTCATTCACTCACTCATTCAAGTACTATAATTCTTAAGTCCCACTTATGTCCTGGGCATCGTGCAGATGTCAAGGATATTACAGATGTCCTCTCTGCCCTCGTGTTGCTCTGGGTCTAGCATGGGGTGCACAGAGGGGTGCTGGTGGCCCGGTTTGGGGACTCAACTTGGGTGACTGGGGCTGAGTCACTTAACCTAGCTGAGCATCAATGTCCTTGTCTGGGACATACAAGCTTCCTAGCAGGGCTGTGAGAATCAGAGATGATGGAGAGCCCAGCCCAGGGAAAGGCCCTCCGTGTGGTCCCCTCTGCACACACCTGGACTCTGTTGCCATGACTCCCCCCAGGAGGCTGTCCCTTCTTCCACTCCTGACATCCAGCCCAGTGTACAGCCCCCGGTGGGTCTCAGCCCCCACAGAAATCACTTGGTCATGGTAACAACCTTCTTTCCCTTCTCTTTTTCCTCAGGACTGCCAACCACAGGTAGGTGGTTCAGGGGCTGGGGGCTCTGGGGCATGTGATTCTGGATCTGGTATTTCTGCCCCAGTGAGTTCTTGCTGCTGTGCCCAGCTTGGTTTTGGCCTGAGGCCTTGTGCTTGGGCTGTGTGGAGCCTGGCTGAGCTGGTGTGCTGAGGAGCAGTGCTTGGTGCTCTGGGCTGGCCATGGGTGAGGGTCGAGGGTGCTGCGGGCTTTCCAGGACCTTGTCCTCTCTATCCCTACAGGGGCCAGCTGGAGATCAGCAGTCTGGTGCCCCTGGGGCCCAAGTACGTGGTGAAGTGGAACACGGCACTGCCCCAGGTGCAGGTGGTGGAGGTGGGCCAGGACGGTGGCGCCTATGACAAGGACAACGTGCTCATCCAGCATGCTGGAGCCAAGAAGGCCTCGGCCACGGGGCAGGCCCAGAGTGAGTGCCCGCCCTGCCGCTGCCCCTCACTCCTGCCCTGTCACAGCCCCATCTGGGAGGCTGTTGATGGTCTTGCAGCACCCCACTGTGGCTGCGTGTGCACAGTTGCGCCTCTGCCCTGCACACTGCACACGCTGTCCACTGCCTGTCCCCGCCGCAGGATGCCCTCACACTGACAAGCTGCGCATGCACATGGTGACTGGGTTGGAAGGCGTGGCTTCCAACAGGTGTAGGGGACATGCACCCTGCCACCTAAACCCTGAGGGACTGGGCTCAGGGCTTTCTGGCTCTGCCTGGATCCTCATTCCCTTGTCCTGACTGTATGCTTCAGACTCTGTTGGACGATGGATGAACAGTGACTCCTAACTTAGGGCGGCACTGGCCTGGTGACCTCTCTCAACCCCCGCACTTCTCTGTGCCTCCACGTGGGCTGCCACCTCACACCCTGAACTGCTCCTGGAGCTTCCTGGCTGCTCTCCCTCCCTCCACTGCTGTTCATCCTCCACCCATCCCCAGAGCCGACTCCTCAATATGCAGATCACACCTGTGTGTGTCACCTGCCACCCCGCCACCCCGCCACCCCGGTGGCTTCCTGCTGCTCTCAGGATACAGGCCCATGCACCTCCCACCTCCCCCCGCTTCCCCTTTCTCTCTCTGCTGTGGCCACACTGGCCTCTGCAAGTTCCTGGCTGGGCCACACTCCCTCCTGCCACAGGGTCTTCCCAGCCTGTGCCTTTCCCCAGCGCACCCGCCTGTCACCCTCTCCTTGTCTATGATGGCCTTACTTCTTCTAGCTCAAATGGTGCTTCTTCAGAGAGGCCTTTTCTGATCACGTCAGGCTGGGCCAGGCCCTATCCTGTGCTCTCAGGGTCCACCTGTTGTATTTTTCCCTTTATTGGGGATCTTTTCATTGATGTTTCTCCCTTTATCGGGACTGTAGCTGTGCCTGGAGCCTGGGGCGTGGTGGGTGTTAAACTTTCCCTGAGTGCAGGAAGGATGCTAATCTGCAGGGCTGGCAGAAAGGAGCGCCGTGCCCAGGAGCGCCTTCCACAGGCAGGAAGGACACTCGGGTTTCACTTCTCCTCCGCCTGACCCGGGAGCTTGCCTCAGGGGTCGCCTGCAATTCTGGAAATTCTGAGGGAGCGGTTGCACCACCTGCCCTCACCCTTGGGGGGCTGGGACAGCCGTGCCCATGCCCAGATGCTGCTCTGTCCCCAGGCCTGTGAGGCAGGAAGGGCTGGGAAGGCCCCCCCACTGCCCCAGCGCCTCTCTCACAGGCACCTTCAGCCCTAGCTCGACTCCAATCCCCTCCCCACCGCCAAGGGGCTGCTGCTCTGGGACCCTCCTTCAGCCACTCTGATCTGTCTGTAGCTGTGTTGCTCAGACTAGAGTCACTTACTGCCAGACCCCCTTAAAAGGGGGAAAAAATTCTTGAACCCCAGTTGGCCTGGGATGATTTTTTATTATATTGTTATTCAAATATGTACAAATATAAAACTTGGTATAATCAACTCCTTCTGCTTTACAGCCCTTGAAGAATCATAAAACCAGAACAAAATCACAAATTGCATAAAAATAAAGCTACAAGACAATAAAATTCAAATGAACAGCATTAGTTGAATGTGATAGATGATGTTATTCTGCTGGAACCAGACTGCTCCCAATGTGGATGTGGTGCTCTCGTGATGCGGGTCCTTCTGAGTTCTCCGACTTCTTGTGGCTGTACCCCAGGGTGCCTTATGGCGGCCGCACTTCCCACCAACTCCCCCATTTGGGTGGCTGACGAGTCCTTCTGTGCCCTTCGTTTGGAGTGAGCGCATCGTTCACATCCCAAACTCACCTTGCTCTTTACTCATTACCTGGCTGACTGTTCAAGTCACCTGGCTCAGTACCAAGGTCCGCAGAAGCCCCAACACCACGCAGCAGAACGTGGCTTTAAAGTCATTCTGTGCAGGCGACTCAGGGTGTGCATCTTTTTTTTTAGGTAATCATCTAAATGAAAACCCCAAATAAGATCTCCCTGCCACTCCCCTTGGTCTCTGTAAGACCTCAGCTAGAGTAACCATGGCCTAGAGAAATTCCCTAGCCAGGCATTAAAGGTCTTTCCCATCTGGTCCTGCCGGCCCCGCCTGCCCCATCTCTCGCTGCCCACCCCCCATCTCCCCTCCTGCACTCCGTTTGTATGATCACCAGAGATCTGGGCACCCTCACCCCCTTCCCTGTCCCATTGCCCTGGTATCTTTCTCCCTACCACCTTCCACTGTCTGCAGGTAATTGACCGCTTCCTTTCCCCTCCCTCTCCCCCTCTCATGAGCTCCATAAGAGCAGGGACCCTGTCTGTCTTGCTTACTCTGTCTCTCCAGCACCTGACATGGAACCTCACTATATCTTGAACTTGTTGCTGATGGGCTTCCTCAGGTCACAGTGCCCTTGCACATGTTCTTTTCGTCTCGGCAGTGCCCGCCACACTCTTGGCCCCATGAGATCTCCTCATCTCTCCCAGGCACAGTTGGTTTTTGGTCTTATAGTTCTTATGGTCTCCTATGACCCTTCGTACAGACTGTGGCCTGGACCCAGGCGTTAGACTTTACGTGTGAATGGATTTGTCTTCCCAAATAGACTGGGAGCTCCATCAGAGCAAGAGCCTGGTAATATTTCCTTCCATGACTCCAGTGCCACATCCCCAGAGCAATGACTTATTTTTTTTTTTTTTCCTTTTTGTCTTTTTTCGTGTCCGGCAACGGATCGCAACCCTCAGTGTCGCGCCCGTACCGGACCGGGACCGGCAACGGGATCGCGACCCTCGGTGTTGCGCCCGCACCTCGCTCAGCCAGTGAGCGGGAACCGGTCTGTATGTGGGATCCGAACCCACGGCGGGCACGCGGCCGCGCCCCCCCTCCGGGGC